CTACTCCACTAATGAGAACAACTACATACCTCCGCCTCATTCAAGAACAACTCATCAAACCTTCTACTCCACTAATGAGAACAACTACATACCTCAACCTCATTCAAGAACAACTGATGAAGATGATTTCTTGGGAAAATTTTGTATTGTTTTGGCAATACTTTTTATTCTAGCCATGTTATTTCTCGGTAATGCAGTTAAAAAATAAAATGTGCAGTCATGTTCCCACTAGTGTTGCACCGATACCAGTATCGGCCGGGGCCCTAATAATGCCTTAAAATGCTGGTATCTGTATTGGCGAGTACCAACAAATAAGGCACCGATACCATTTTGAGAGTCAAAAGTTTATTCAACTATTGTCACCCATTCCAGGTAGGTGATAAAAGGTTCTACTGAATTCACTTTGTATTAGCCTTTTTCCTGCTTCACAAAGGTAGGCAGCAGCTTGGCAAAACCATTATTTACAATTATTTTACATCCTAGTAGTCTGCAGTTCTTCATATACACACATACATAAATTTTAAACAGATGGTATCGGCCAATACTGCACAGACCGGTATCGGTTTTGGGGCCAAAAAATGGCATCGGCGCAACACTAGTTCCCAGACACTGTTCAAGGGAAACATATAAAAATGGTGCTTTTAAATAGTCTGGGTTAAAACTGTCAAATTGTGAACAAAATATGGGATGCATGTATGTATGTTTATGAGTAAATATATTTTCCATTGTAAAATGTTATTTGACTCTATGATGTATTCCTCTGCCTCATAATGGAGCAATATATGTCTGACATTTGATGCAGACTTGAGTCATTTTGGGTGGGATAAACATTACAAGTATTAAGATTGAAAGGGTGCCTGTTGAAAGTTTGTATTTATTTGTTTTTACTATGTTGTATATTTAACACTGTTTTGTTAGTGACTTAGGTGCCCCCCCTCCAATGTAAACTGGATGAAGCTGGATACAATAAATAAAATCAATGTGTCATATGAGCTTTCGCTTGGTGTGTATGCTTTGAGCAATATTCAAACAATCTGTACAAAACACATATTTGACAAACAGCAGACTAGTATTTGCTATGATTTGCTTGACAAACAGTGTCTTGCAAATGTATTCCTTCAAGCTGATCATTCACACTTTGTCACAATTCAAACATATTCATTAGGGATTGAATTTGACAAATCAAAAGGTAGAAGATAACTGTGTTGAAAGGAGCAAATAGAAAAGGTTAAACAGCATTGTACGCTTTAAAAATTACTGGGAGGATTTTTTAATCCGTCATCTGATAAAATAAACCCATAAAAAAAACACATTTTAAGTTTCCAAAAAGCTTTGCAAGACATCCAGACTTGAAGTTTTGGTGGGGAGGCAAATATAAAATATAATGATTCAGAGAAAATGAATAGAAGTTTTTAGATTATTATTTCTGAAAAAAAAAAAAGATTTCAAAAAGTTTTATTTTCCTTCTGCTTCACAATTATGGACTACTTTATGTCCCATCTCATAAAATCTAAACCATTTTTGAGGTTTGTGATTGTAAAATGACAAAATATGGAGAAATTCAGTCAGAACACTTAAAGCACTTTCCATTGTCAGTGGGATTATTCATGGGCATGGCAATAACAAAAGCCAATAAGTTCTGGAAAATTTTCCATCATTAAAACTAAACAGATCTTTACTTGTATCACTTTCAATTCAATAGAAAATGAAACCAAGTCATGACTAACTCCCTCCCTCACTCATGCCACTCTACCACACAAACGCAGCGCACAAACCAGGAAGCAGCCAGCCAACACCGCCGGTAAGCTCCCTTTTTATACTATTAGAAAAAAAATATTCAACTCTTCTATATAGTCTAGTTTATATATAGTCTGTCCTAAATGGTTATTAAAAAGGGCAAGATAGCATTTCTGGTTACAGTTCAGTTTTACTTCCTTTAACATAATACACAGATATGGTTGCTTTTCTATTTAAACATTGCCTCAAATTGTGAATAAAAGAAGTGAAAGAAATATGATTAACTTCAAAACTTCAGTTCAAGGTCAATATCCATAATATCAAAGAATTTGAGATGTTATGGAAATAGTTTAACCTCCCAGCTTTTTTTTAGATTTTCATGTTTGCTAAGAAAAATTTTTTAAGTGTTTTTAATTGTTCTTTTGTATACCCTAAAACTGGCAATGCCCAAAGTCACTCCTTGAGGGCTGCTGTCCTGCAGGTTTTAGAGGTTTCTCCCCTCCAGCACAGCTGATTTCCATTGATAGCTGATTACCAGGATTTCGCTGAACTGCAATAATCAGAATCAGCTGTGGTAAAGCAGGGAAACCTTTAAAACCTGTAAAGCCCTCGAGGACCGACTTTGGGCATGCCTGCCCTAAAACATAACAGAGTAAAAAAATTAAAAAAATAAAAAAAAAAAAAATAAAAAAAAAACAGTATTTGTTTTTTGTAAAATTTTTTTTTTTAACAGCAATGTATAGTAAGAATGAGCTCAAACTTTCAAAATATCTCTACAGAGATTAAAGATGTCAACAAAAGTCAGAGGAGTCTGTGTCGCTCTGCTGCTAACTCTGACCTCAGTGTACGCTGCACGGAGAAGTCTGAACTGCATCAATGACCTGATCAGCTGCCACCAGTCTGAGCGCACAAACGTTTTAGAGCTCCTTCACTGGTTTGCTTGTGAAGTTGACATTGATCACTACAACAACATCCGCCTGACTTTTTATCCAAATTCTGGTGCTTACGGCTCCCATCGATACAGAAACCTGGAGGGAGTGCTGGATCCACTTCCTTGGGGCTACCAATACTACAGTATTGGTAATATTCATCAAGGTGTATCAAGAACACTACCATCCTATGTGGTAAATTCCCAGAGGGAGAACATTGTCTGGAACAGCGCTCGAATCCTAGTTAGAGTGAACGAATACAGTCAGACCACAGACCAAGTCTACATCACTCAGCATTATGACCCATCTGATAACCGGGGCTCTGTCTATGATCCAGACCATACATACAGGATCACTACAAACTTTTTGAGGCAACTTAAGAAGTATTCGATTAATGAAATCCAACGACTAGCTGCTTCCCAACCTGGTCCCTTTAGAAACACCTCAAGTGTTCATTTCCAGAAAGATCACTACCCTAAAGAAAACATCCACATAAATATGCCTTTTAACCTAACTACCCAAGGTGACTGTACAGACTGTCAATCCATTTGTAAAAGTTTTGTTATTATCATCATCATCTTTTTTATCATTTTAGGCTCTTACTTTTATTCAAGGAAATAGCATAACATCAAATAAGTGGAATGGGAACTTCTCAGATTAACCTCAAACATACAGCTAACTATTACTCCATTTACACTAGCCTTTTGAAACAGCGCTGAGAACGATCCAAACACGGTAACCGAGGTAAATGTATGGTTTTAATGGAACGCAAATGAACTGGACCGTGCCAGACACAGCCGCATCGTGCTAGATCTAGTACTAGTTCAGCAGTAGGGCTCGGTGCGGATCAGTTGTGGAACGATTCACTGGTAACAAAGAGTGTATGAGCAGACATCTCATATTTACAGTCAGCTGACCCATTTTGTGTTTTTTCCGGCTTTGGAATTCATAGATCTCTTCACCTGTTTGCAACAGGAACCTGTTCTCTGCCTATTAACACTAAAGGCATCAAAAGAGCGCGCTGCGAACTGGGATGTGGCCAAGATTGAGAAGGATGCCTTCTACAGTGAGGAGAACAAGTATTTGAAACACTGTTGATTTTTCAGGTTTTCCCACTTGCAAAGCTTGTAGAAGACTGTAATTTTTATCATAGGTACTCTTCAACTGTGAGTAAAAATCATACATTGTATTTTTCTGGATTTTTGTTTTAGATTCCATCACTCACAGTTGAAGAGCACCTATGATAAAAAATTACAGTCTTCTACAAGCTTTGCAAGTGGGAAAACCTGAAAAATCAACAGTGTATCAAATACTTGTTCTCCCCACTGTATGTCTGACATTCCGCAAACCAAGAAATAACAAATTCCTGAATGTTATGGGTGCTGCCGTTTTTGTTTGCATAATTCTCGCTTTGAGAGCTATAGTATCATGAACTGTCGATAGGGGGCGAGGAACCGTGCTAGCGTGATGTGTAACGAGGCTCGGAACTGTGAACTGATCCA